TGCGTGTGCGTGTGCGTGTGCGTGTGCGTGTGTGGGATGGACGGTGCTGTCATACTGCGCGGGGCTTCCCGCGGGGGACCGAAGGCGTACCGACCCCCCCCCCCCCCTCCCCCCCAACCCCCCACACGTGCAGCCCCGGGTTAGACTACAAGCCGCGCGACTTCGCCTGCGGCTGCCTAGCCGGCGAGCAGAGAATCGGCTGCACGTCGGCCGGCAGCTGCTCGCCTCGCGGCCTGCTTTTCTTCTTTCGTCGTGCGGACCGTGAATTCTTTTTTGAGTCGTTCACAGGTCTGTGAACGACACTGCTCGCTCGGCGCGCGTGCGCGCGTCTCCCCACATCTCCCCACCATCTCCCCATATCTCCCACAGGTAACTGCTCCCTCGGCGCGTGCGGAATATCTCCCCACATCTCCCCACCATCTCCCCATATCTCCCACAGGTAACTGCTCCCTCGGCGCGTGCGCGCCCTGCCCCGGCTCCAAGGGGTCGGACTGCTCGCGCTGCGGCAACGGCCTCGCGCTGCTAGACGCGGAATATCTCCCCGTATCTCCCCCCATATCTCCCCATATCTCGTGAGCAGGAGCAGCGGGCCCTAGAAGCGGAATATCTCCCCGTATCTCCCCATATCTCCCCATATCTCGTGAGCGGGAGCAGCGGGCCCTAGAAGCGGAATATCTCCCCGTATCTCCCCATATCTCCCCATATCTCGTGAGCAGGAGCAGCAGGCCCTGGAAGCGGAATATCTCCCCATATCTCCCCATATCTCCCCATATCTCGTGAGCAGGAGCAGCGGGCCCTGGAAGCGGAAAGACATAACGATGAGATCGCACGAGATATGGGGAGCCGTATTCCGCTGTATTCACTGTACTCGCCTCCCTTGTCTTCACGCGGTGCTCTGAAGACGCTGCACGACACCGCCCTTCCCGCCCCGAGGCTGGTGTCTTCAGCACGCAGGCCTTGGACCGGCATTCGAGCCGCCGTTCCACTACAGCGGGCAACCCGCCGGTACCGCCCCCACCAGCGCCGCCCCGACTCCGCACCCACCGCCGCCGACGCCCCCCCCCCCCTCCTCCCTCCTCCCTCCTCCTCCTCCTCCTCCTCCTCCTCCTCCTCCTCCTCCTCCGCTGCTGCTGCTGCTGCTGCTGCCTCACCGCCACCACAGTCTACGATGTCGTGCGAGTGCCGGCGGGGCTCCGGCCCGGACGGGGCGTGCTCTGTGAACGGCGTCTATTCACACCTCCAGCCGTGAACAGGCGGGGCTCCGGCCCGGACGGTACGTGCTCTGTGAACGGCGTCTATTCACACCTCCAGCTGTGAACAGGCGGGGCTCCGGCCTGGACGGTACGTGCTCTGTGAACGGCGTCTATTCACACCTCCAGCTGTGAACAGGCCGGGCTCCGGCCCGGACGGTACGTGCTAGGCTTCCGGTACGATTGCGAGGCGACTGCGCAGGTCTGGCCCACCCCATCTCTCCCCATCTCTCCTCGTCTCTCCCCATCTCTCCCCATCTCTCCCCGTCTCTCCCCATCTCTCCCCATCTCTCCCCATCTCTCCCCATCTCTCCCCATCTCTCCCCATCTCTCCCCATCTCTCCCCATCTCCCCCCCCCTCCCCCAACCCCCCTCCTCTTCCTGCGTGCGCACGCTCGGCCTCGCACTCTCTGCTCGCACTCTCTGCACGGCGTTGGGCTCCTCCCGGCGCTTCGCGCGTGGAGGTGCGAGGGGCAGAGTGGGGGCAGAGTGGCACGGAGAGCCCCCCATGCGCCCCACACTGGCGCGCGGAGGCGTGTGTCTGCATTACTGTGAACGGCGTCTATTCACACCTCCGGAGGCGTGTGTCTGCATTACTCGGTAGATGGCACGCCAGTCCTATCGTGGCCCGGGGCGCGTCCGTCCCTAGTGGGCCCTGGCAGGGAGGGGAGGGACGGACGAGCACACTCTCTGCCTTAGGTCTGGTCGTCGTGCAGCGACATCACGCTGGTGGAGGAGGGCGGCACCACCCGCACCCGAGATGTGGGGAGATACGGGGAGATAGCACCTCGCCCTCGTGCAGCAGGATGTTTGGGAGATATGGGGAGATATGGGGAGATATGGGGAGATATGGGGAGATAGCACCTCGCCCTCGTGCAGCAGGTGCACTTGTGTGGGGGGAGAGGTTTGCCTTGCTTTACCACCGCCCTACTGTGCCGTAGGAGGGCGGCGCGCCAGAGGCCTCTTAGCGAGCGAGGAGCTGCGAGGGGGTGGGGTGCGAGCTTGCTCACCCTCGTGCACCTTCAATGCCGTGCCGGCTCCTGCCCGACCGTGGAGAGGACTGCAGTCCCGGACGAGGTCTTCCGAAGCCAGCCCAAAATCTTCTTTTGGGGGGGGCGCGCCGCCAGAGGGCACTTGGAGCACTTGGAGTGCAGTCATAATCCAGGGTTGGGGAGCTAAGAAGCGCACCCAGCGAGCCGGATGATCGGCATCGGGCTACAGGCTAGGGAGCCCTGACCCCAGGCTGGGGGGGTGCGCGTTCGCAGGGAAAGGGCCGTAAAATAAACACGGGTCTCCAAGGGTTAGTACCGCGCTCCAGGTTTCCCCTAGCAGCAGAACGCCCCCTCTACTCGGAGCTATAGTAAACACCAGACAAGGACACGCGACGACACACTCCCCCTTGCTGGCGACGCGGCGTCGTCAGTCACAACCCCTCCGCCCGGCCTCCCTGCCCCGGCACCGGATGCTAGAGCTAGTGCTTGAGAAGACACCACAAACGCGGCACGGCCCGTTTTGGATGTCTGCGGAGATTCTGTCTTAGCATACACAGTGAATTCGATGGCCAGAGTGCGATTGTGTGTGTGCGGGAGTTGGTTTGTCGGGAGGGAGGGGCAGGCTGCTCACCCACGTGCACCGGGCCAGTACTTGCACTTTGAATGCCGTGGGGCTCCTGCCCGTGTCCGGGTGTGGAGATGCGAGGGTCGCCCCCCCTTGCCCCACCACTTTGTGTGTGTGGAGAAATTTACCTTACCTTACCTACCGGTTGGGTCCACCCCCCCCGCTCGGTCCGTTCTCCTGTTTGCTTCTTGATGGTTGTACGGCGGGCGCGGGGCCCGACCTCCCCACCCTCCTAGCCTTTTTCGGCTGCGGCCCCGCCGCCGTCTCGTCTTCTCTGCTTGATCCTGTTGACTCCGCCTCCGGCGATCCCGCGCCCGACTCCCCGGGTGAGGGCGGCGGCATCATGTCTCGTCGCCACCCCTCTACGGGAGGTCGGGCCGGCTCTCCCTGGTCAGCGAGTCGCGCCCGCACCCGTGGCCTCTCTCGTGCGGGGAGAGCGGCATTGTGCACGGTGCGGAATGCATTGCCGTTCTTAACGGAGTCGCTTAGGCGGCTCCGGTGGTGAGCCGGTGTGTGTGCCAGTCCGCGCCAGTCCGCGCCCTTGTCGTGCCAGTGTGCTGTGAGAGAGGCTTGTTCTTGTTCCTTAAGAAAAATTCTTCTCCAGACGCCGTAGCGCGCTGCCATGGTGGCCGCTGCCTTGGGCAGTGGCCACGGTGGCCGACCCAGGGCTCCTACGCGGCTACAGCCGCGCGCGACCGCTGCCGCTGGCACCGGTCGCGAGGACTCTGGCTCGGCATGCGCGCCACCGAGGTTCCGCTTCTATCCGCACGGGCTGACGCCGGCTGCGGAGCTGCTTCCCCTGGCCCAGTTCTCGTCCACCCACGAGTTCCTGCACCAGGCGCAGCGGCGGTACACCTCTGGTGTGCACCACGCTAACTGGCTCAACCTTGCCAAGGAGCTTACCGACGAGGCGCTTCGCAGTGGCGGCCGCAAGGCGCCCTCCAAAGGCAACAAGGTCGGAAGACGCAAGAACCACAAATGCTGGCGAGAGGCGATCCGTTTTGTCGCCGTCAGCCAACCAGGGGCCGGCGCCTTCCTCAACGCCATCCCCATGCGTGATGATATGAAGATGGAGTCCTGGGCGATGCGCGTCACCGTCCAGCGCCGCCTTGGGCTCCCCCTTGATGTCGCCTGCCAGGCGGTGGAGGCAGGCAAGAGGGCACCCAGCGGCCAGCTACACGACGTCTTTGGCGACGCCGCGATGGTTAACCCTCGGTCAAAGCATGCTACAAGACACAAATTTCTACTCAAACGTTTGATCAAATGCCTCCGCTCGGCGTGGGGCATGATCATCGAGATGGAGCCGACTGCACACCTCAGTTACAGTAATCCAAAACAACCTGACGTGGCGGCGGCAAACATCGGCAGGGGGCACAGGCGCCTTGTTGCCGATTTGAAGCTCACGAGCTCGCTTGCGAGCCAGGGCAAGGACACGGCCGGCGACGGAGAGCTCGGCTGGAAGGGGGCCTATGTGCGTTTTGGCAACACGGAGACCGGGCTGCTCAAGTTGGTCAAAGGGCGCGGCAAGTGGTCTCCGTCGGGAGCGACGGCAGCGGCGGTGGCGGGGGAGGAGGAGGAGGCCGAGGAGGAGGGGGAGGAGGGGGAGGAGGAGGATGCCCCCAAGGGAAAGCTCAAGGAGCTGCCTGGCGATTACCCCTTTGCGCGGCAGCAGGATTGCGATCTACGTTTGTTTGATTTTGAGGCTTTCGGAGGCTTTGGAAAGGAGGTTCGCAGCACCCTGAGGGAGGCGGCGAACCAGCTGAGCAACAAACTTTCGCACGCTCAGCACCTGGACGAGGTCACATGGACCACCAAGAACTGGCACGGGCTGCAGATGCAGCGCTTGTCTGTCGTCCTCCACACCGCCGTGGCGTGGCAGACGGTGAACGAGCTAGCGTGCGGGGAGAGCGGCATTGTGCATGGTGCGGAGTGCATTGCCGTTCTTAACGGAGTCGCTTAGGCGGCTCCGGTGGTGAGCCTGTGTGTGTGCCAGTCCGCGCCAGTCCGCGCCCTTGTCGTGCCAGTGTGCTGTGAGAGAGGCTTGTATCTTAAGAATTCTTTGCGACAAGGGCAAGCCGCGGCATGCGCGACAACGCCACACGCCCATTGGTGTGGGGCCGTCCTGCGTTAAATATGACGGTGTGTCGCTCCAGCTGCTCCGTCGACTGCAAATCGTGCGGCAAACTGCCCGATCCAGCACCCAGCAACATCATGTGCTCACCCACACACACCCGACAGCTCCATGACATGCGTGGCCAGGTACGACCTGCCTCTCGGCGTCTGCTACTCACCACCTCTGCTCTTCCCGGGCGACCCGCAGTGGGGAGCGGGCGACGTACTCGACCAATGCGACGCGGCCGCCGGCATCCTCACTCGCACCCTCTACTCCTCCTCGGGCGGAACCTGCCGCGGCGGCGGCAGCCCGGTGCAGGCACCGCACACACCGCACGCACGACACAGCTCATACACACCTCATACACACGAGCGCGCGTTGCGACGCAAACCCGCACAGACAAGCCTACCTCGCACCGTCAACGAGGATCGCCTCTCGTCGAGACTCCGCAGCTGCCACCGGCGCCTGTAATCATTGAGAATCGACTTATGATTCCCACAAGGACAGCATCATGATGTAGGTGCCGCTGGACGTCTGCGTGGGGCCGTTTGGACCGCCTCGACCGTCCGGCTCATTCCAGTGCCTCGACACCCCTGGCGGCGAACCCAGATGCGGAAGTCCAGATCCACATCTCCCCACATCTCCCCGTATCTCGAGGCCTAGATGCGGAAGTCCAGATGCGGAAAATACACAGCATCGGTGTCTTCCGGCCCTCGAGGTGCCACGCACGCGGCTGCGCGTAGCGGGTAGCCCGCGGCCGTCAGCGAGATTCGCCGCATTATCGTATACCAGCAATTGGGCTACTCGTCGGGGTGCCGGCGCCCCACCCGTCTGCTTAGAGCCCCCCATCCCACCACTAGCACCGCCACCCCCCCACCTCCGCGGTCCCTCGCGGCCGCATTCGCAGCCGTCGCACTCTCGCGATCCTCGGCGTGGCCATATCTCCCCATATCTCCCCATATCTCCCCATATCTCGGCTCACTCTCGTCACCATGCCCCGACGGCGTGATCACGGTGCAGGCGGCGGAGCAACGCACGCACACACACGCACACACACACGCACGCACGCACGCACACACACACACACACACACACACACACACACACACACACACACACACACACACACACACACACACACACACACACACACACACACACACACACACACACACACACACACACACCGCTCGCCCACGCCTGATGCAGGCGGCGGAGCAACGCGCGCAGGCGGCGGCGTCGCCCGCCCGCTGGGGGGTGGGTTCGGGTACCGTGGGGTGGGGGAGGGTGGGTTCGGGTACCGTGGGGTGGGGGAGGGTGAACGCACCCGCCCGCTGGACTCGCGGAACGTCCACGGCCGTCTCGAGCCGCCGACCGCTGCTCGGGCAAGCGTAGACGCAGCAGTGGTCGGCGATGCATTCCGTGTCGGTGCTGCATTCCCTCAAGACGTGGCAGCTGCCGCCGAGAGGGACGGCGGCGGCGGCGCTCCGGCAGCCGGTGCAGTCGCACCCCACGAAGCAGAGCAGCGCGTCGGCGCGACGTGGCGGACGCCTCTCCCGCCCCCGCCCCGGCCGCCCATGCTGCTGGTGCTCCTCGTGGCCGTTGCTTTGGCCGCCAAGCGCTACGTGCGCCGACACGCCGCCGCGGTAGTAGCCGATGCGGCGTTTGCCGCCGACGACGGCGGCCGCGCTGGCGGCGCTGGGTGTGACGGGGAGTTCGACTGTGAGTATCGCGGTGTGCGGTGACCAGCAGGTAGAAGCAGCGGTATAAGTGAGAACGCCGGGCAGGCTCTCGGTCAGCCTATTGCACACTCACGGAGTGCGTCTATGTGACGGTGATAGCAGATTCTCCTATCTACGTTTGCGCGGCGGTGTCCTCTGTCCTGCACAGTACGGTGTCGGTCCACACTCACATCACTCTACACACTACAGACAACACAGGACGAGGAGACACGGGACGCGATGGCAGGCGAGACGAGGAGGACGGAGGCGAGGGAAGAGGCAGCGCCACAGTCGACGGAGGCGACAACGATGGAGAAGGGGAGGGAACGACAACGCGCAAAGAGGATGAGGATATAAACTGGGACGACGCAGCGGAGGGGATAGACGAGGGAATCGAGGGACCGGAGGGCTTTCGCGACAGCGACGATGACGACGAAGGCAGGGGAGGAGACGGAGGGGCGACACGCAGGAGGAGCGAAATCGCGAACGGCCCGAGCAGAGAGGGCGACGGCGGAGCACGAGGGGGCAACGGAAACGCTACCAATGACGCGAATCGAGGCACGGGCGACGGCGGGGACGGGGAGGGCGACAGCGACGTCGAGGTTGACGCAACCGTATCGAGAGCGCCACCCAAAAGGAGGCGGACGGCCATGGAGGTCACCGAATGGAGGGCGAACGGCACGATACGAAAAGGCACGATACGAAAAGGGCGAGGCGGATGGAGAAAGAAGTGCCGAGGAGGCCATGGTGGAGGGGAGGGACGGGAGGACGAAAGAAGGGCGAGGAGGACGAGCGGCCCGCACAGACCGCGAGCAGACAGCGCCTGCTGGCCATTTCGAGACATTCGCAAAGAACGCTAGCTACATGGGAGGGCTTCGTGAAGGATGGATTGAAAAACATTCGAACAAAGAAGAGGCGACGGGTCACGGGAGGAACCGGCAGAGGATGCAGTGACGTGACACACACACACACACACACACACACACACACACACACACACACACACACACACACACACACACACACACACACACACACACACACACACACACACACACACACACACACACACACAGTGTCGTGCGAGGAAGCTTTGTTGTAAAAAATTGTGTCTGTATCGCGCGCCAAATTGTTGGTTTTCAAAAATGGTATGTTCGTAAGAGCCACATACACACACTGAAAATCTCTCTCTCTCTCTCTCTCTCTCTCTCTCTCTCTCTCTCTCTCTCTCTCTCTCTCTCTCTCTCTCTCTCTCTCTCTCTCTCTCTCTCTCTCTCTCTCTCTCTCTCTCTCTCTCTCTCTCTCTCTCTCTCTCCTTACGCTCGCGATCCTAGCAACATGCCTCCGATTGCGAGCGGCGGCGCTCACAATCGTACGTACCACCTTAGTAGCGTGTCCACCCCACAGCCCCGTCTTCATGCGCCAGGCGCGCCCTCGTCCGCGCGGCTCCAGACGCGGCCGGTCAGCGCCGCGCTGCCCAAGAGGGGCGGCGGCGGAGCGGCGGGCGGCGGGGCCCGAGGCTGGGCGTGGGGCGTCGCGCCCGACCTCGGCGAGCTGCTGCACGCCAT